AAAAATGTTCAAATTTTGCTAAATTATGCGGGGTGCCTAAAACCACAGGGACAGGTTGTACTGTACATATGTAATGGCATGAATGGTGGGTGAGAGCATGTCACAGTCTGGCGCACACAAAGTGAAATCAGACAAGTGCAGAAATCTTTTTGTTAATATTAATATGTATGAATTTTACTATGTTCATGCTTTAAATACAAAGTTTATACATGTGTAAGAAAAAATCTATTTGCCATAAGCGTGATCACCCTGTGAGAGCTAGACTGTATAGTCTTACGTATATATGTGTCACAATGTGGTGGAATCAGGCGCTCGTCAATTATTGGGTTTGAGGAGTTATTTGTATAATCTGAAAGATTTTTTATTTGCCTCACTTTTGATTAAGAAAGTACTCATCTGTCTTGAATAGAAGTTGAGATATTTACGATTGAAGAAGGTGGGGGTCACCTGGTTTCAGAGGTACAGTTGAGGAGAAAATGGCCGTCAAAGTTTGGTAACTTCACTAGCTTGAGAGGCCTTGAGAACTGACATTTTTACAAATTTTAAGCCTTTAATCAATGGCTTTCAGTAAAATTCACATGGAATATGCTGTTAAACGGACAAAAAAGGTGTTGAGTCAGAAAACAACAATTCTATAAAAATTGCCAAACTGGCGGAAAAATGCCTGTTTCTTGGATTTCATTATTTTACGAGCGCCTGATTTCACCACGTTGCCTCACGTTTGTAAAATATATGTGGAGGCATCGTGATGAAATCAGGCGCTTGTCAAAATAATGAAACTTAAGAAAACCTCCATTTTTCTGCCTGTATGGCAATTTTTATCAAATTTTTGTTTTATGGGCTCAACTCTTTTTATGTCCGTATAAAAACACATTTCTCTATTGACTCTTACTGAAAAACGTTGATTAAGGGCACAAAAATGTAAATTTGCAGTTCCTAAGGACATTCAAACTGTTAGACACTAAACTTTGGGGCCATTTTCGCGCCAATTTTACTTCTGAAATCAGGCGACCCCCACCTTCTTCAAATATCTCGACTACTATTTAAGTTTAAGATAGATGCGTAGCTTTTTTGTTTTTTTTAATCAAGGCCATTGAACACGATTTTAGGATAATACCATTATTTCCACATGCCTGAAAATTGATGAGCACCTGATTCCACCGCGTTGTGACACATAATGAATATATGACATGAAGCTTGAAATTAAATTTGTTCATCTGCTGCTTGTGGTGAAAGTGAAACTATTTTGAATTGTGCCATTTGGTTCCTTTTGTTTCATTGACGCAAAATTGCGACTTGAACTCATGTAGTCAGAGACAGTGGAACATCATCTGTTCTTCTGTAGAAAACTAACTGATTTAAGGGGATGTTTTCTTCCCAAGCTACCCCACACATCTAA